CCGCCTTGTGACCAAAAAGACAGAGCTCTGCATGGCCCTTCATGCCCGGAACTTGTGGCCTCAGCCATGCCAGCCCCCCATGCTGATGGACCACATCCCCAACACACCCCCAAGAGCCACTGTAACAGACACTTGTAAAAACATAGAAGCTTTTAACCAGCTGCCCTTCTGCCTCTACCTTGGTTTTCAGTCCTGACAGATGCACTGGTTCGTCTTTTCTCTTGGTAGAATGCTACCACATGGTCCAAAAGATATATTTAAAAATCACCCTAAACTGACCAACCAGCATAGCTCCCTGGAGACAGAATGCACGGAGGTTAACTCCGAGGTCAGGAGACTTTGCCTGGGATCCCGGCTGCACTGTCTATGGGTCCTGTTGGATCTCTCCGTGACTCAGTCTCTCCTGGGCAACATGGGGGCTAATAACAGTGCCCACCTCATCTGGGCGGGGGGAATGGATGATTAACAGCTAACGACTGAGAAGAGTGCCTAGCACAGAGTAAGCATTCCGTGAATGTCATCTCCTTCCCCTTCTTTGCTGAGCTAGAATCTATTTATCTTTCATTGCGCGTCTGGTCCAACCTCTCCTGGGGGTCACACTTATCCGATGGTCATGACCGAAATAGCTGAACCTGGACGGGCTAATGTCCCATTTCATACCACCTTTGAAAACCAGGATTTCAGTCCATTAACAGACTCTGTTCTTATAAGTGGCATCGGCTGCCTACAAGGTCAGGGACCCCAGCTCCTGCCAGCAGCAACCCCTGCGTGGACCCACAGGTCCCTTTCTCCTACAGCAGGAGTATTGAAGGCTCAGGAAACCCAATGACCCCCCAAAAGGAGAAAGAGGATGCAGGCTGTGTGGCCAGACTTTTTTTACATAACGGGAGGGAACATTGATCCCTGCTGAACACCTGGAAGGCACAGAGGCTGTCTGAGCCACTCCTGTGTGGAGATGACGTGAGAAGGTGCTCGAAGATACCCACGGCCTCTAAATTCTCCAGGTGATCAAAGGGACAGGAGGGCAAACATGTCCCCCAATGCTGCTTGTGCCCCAGCCCCCTGTCCCCATGGCTCCTGCTCTCCACTCAGCTCTCCCCAAGCCAACCACATTCACATCTCTCTTGGACCCTTGACCTTAAGCATGTGACCTTTTTTAAGTACAGTAAAATACACCTAAAATTTACCATTTTTTACCCTTTTTCAATGAGGCAATTCAGTGGCATTAAGCATGTTCACAACATGACCCACCCCCCTGGTTTGGTTCCAGAACCTTCCTGCCACCTCCAAAAAGGAGAGCCCGTATCCATCACACATCACTTGCCACTCCTCCCACCTCCTAGTCCCTGGCAACCACTAATCTTACTTCTGGTGTCCAGATTTGCTCATTCTGGGCACTTCATATAAATGGAATCATGCACTACACGGCTTCTCTCACTCTGCAAACCTCGTGTGTATGGGTACCTCATTCCTTTTTGTGACCAAACGCTAGTGCCCCGTACAGACATGCCATACCGCATTTACCCATTTGTGCAGCGATGGACATCTGGGGTGTCTCCACCTCTCAGCTATCATGAAGGCAAGCACTTGACCTTTAACTGACTTCCGGTTTTCAACTCCCTGCTAAGTTAGGGGTCTAACAGCAGCTGCTGGGAAGGCTGTGACGAGGACCCCCCAGCAGTCCCTTCAGCTGCCCCGCCCCCACCCCAGGCAGCACCACCTGTTCCCTCCCAAGGTCCTCTCAAGAGACCTCCAGCAAGCTGACCCTCCCCACCTGTCCTCATGCCCTTAAGTCTCGCCTCCCCTCGTGAGCAGGTGAGCGGGCAGGAGAGCTCAGCTCGGCTCGACTCACCTCCTTCACTGCCCCACGTGCGCATGTCCCCATCGCTTCCTCACCAGAAGACAGGCGAGCACCAGACAGTAAGATGCGTTGAGCGAGAGACCTCATTCCCGTAACTTTTACTACAGTCTCTTGCTATAACTGTTCTATTTTATTACAAGTTACTGTTCATCTCTCACTGTGCCTGATACATTAAGCCCTGCACAGGTAGGCACGTATGAGCAAAAACATAGTATACACAGGGTTCCGTATTATCCACGGTTTCAAGCATCCACTGGGGGTCTTGGAACGTATCCCGAGTGGATAATGGGCTGGGGGTTCGGGGGACACACAACTGTCTCAGGAAACCAGACCAGGCAGAACTCAGGCCCCAGGACTCCAGATTTAGCCAGTGCTTTTTCCTCCCCACTGTCCCGGCCCCCCAGCAACCTGGCCTGTGTTATCAGTACCCAACCTATTCCTTCTCTTGCAAAACGAAAGCCAAAAATGACAGAGCGCCAAGCTAATCCAGGCTGCACGTGTATATAGACCGATCTTCCATGAAAAAGATGGCAGGGCTGAGAGACTACCAAAGGGGACATGTGTAAGGTCACCCCCAGCCCGGCACCCATGCCTGGGAGCACTGGTGGGTGAGGTCCTTCCTACAGCTGGTGGGCTCCCCGGGGTTCTCTCCAGACCCCCCCGGAAGGCTGGCTGACCAGGCCCATGCCTCACCTCGGAGCAGGTGGCAGGAGGCGCCTCGCAGGGCCCCAGCTTGGGGGCAGGGAGGACACTGGCCACAGGTGGAGTGTTTACACCAGGGAACGCGGCAGACACTATAAACCAGGCCTGCCCCTGCCAGCCGTCAACCATTTCCCCGGACGCTTCCACCCACGGAGAGCTCTGTAAGGGACTGTGGACAAAGCCTGTCACTGCCCGAGGCCTCACACCAGTGGAGAACCAACCCCAGATCGCGCCCAGCTCCAAACCACGCTCCTTCCGCTGAACCAAACAAACGTGAAGACTGACAATCGCCTCGGAGCTGACGGAGGGCCGGCGAAGTCAGGTGGCTTTCTTTTAGGCCTGGGAGGTGGAGGTTTCTGCGACCATAAGCAGATGGGTATGGGGTGGGTGGTCCCGATCCCCTTCCTACCCGTTTCTGGTCCCCACCCCCCACCCAGGGCCCCCAGACCTCCCCAGCCGGGGCCCCCAGACCTCCCACGGGCAAGGCGTTCCTCACCTCCCTGTCCCCAGAGAGGGTCCCAGCCAGCTCCGTGAGCAGGTGGACAGCGTTCGCTGAGTGAGCTGGCCCTTCCAGGAGAATGGGTTCAGGCCGAGGTTATGTCCATCAGCTTTCAGGACAAATTCTCCGTTTATTAATTCTCCTCCATTACGCAGGCAAAAGTAAACAAGCTTTTTTCAGGCAGCCTGGCACGGAGGGCTTCCCTATTCAAACATTGCAAGAATCGACAGGCTTGGAAGTATGAGCTCCCAGCCCCGCTTCCCAGGGGGCCCCCTGGCCTCCTGCCCAGGACGCCCCGGCCTGCCGAGACAGGCGAGTCGGGCTCTGTGTGGCGGTGGCCGGCTCCAGAGTCCGGTGCTCCGGGCCTGGGAGTAGCCTCGGCTCCCCGGAGGGAGCACCACAGACTTCCGGGCACCTGGAAGCACCCCGGAGAAGGTCAGAAAGGCTCGGGCCACAGCCACGGACACCGGGACAAGCATCACACCTGCCCACGTCCCCACTCCACAGGAGGTTGCAAGTGTTTCTAAGTAGTTAGTTGTGCGGGAGATTTTTCCCCGCCCAGCCGAGATGGCTGCCCGTTTTCAAGTCAAGTTGCAGAAGCAGGGAGAGAGAGAGAGAGACAGACAGACAGACAGACAGGCCAGGACCCATCTTGGCCTTGGTCCAGCTGCGCACACCGCCCTGAGGAGGACCGTACCCAGGTGAGTCCTCCCGTGACCCATGTCACAAGGAGGAAGCTGGCATCCGCTGGAGGGAAATGTCTTCCAGCTTCCAAACTGCCCCTCCCCCACCGCCCCAGTTCCTCTGAATTATGTCTTTACAGAAAGAGCCCCCTCGTCCCGCCTCCCAGGTACTGGGGGAACCTACTTCTCTACAAGGCCTTGCCACCGCTGTTTCTCCTGGAAGGGTCCCCCGCAGCTCAACCAAAGGGGACTCCAGATTGCCCAACAACCCAAGACCCGGATCTCGGTGGTTTTCTACGGTGTGGCCTCAGGGACTCTGTCCCTTCCTAGCTGCGGGCTGTTGACCTCATGGCAGGCCTGGCCTGCTCTCCACCGGGCAGCCCCATTCAGCCAGGCCCTGAGCCCTCTTTGTACCCAGAGCCTGGGCTGCAGAACCCCTCCTGTACCAAGGGCCTGGGGATGCCCAGGGGCCCTTTCTCCCAGCAGTAATTCTAAATGCTCAAATAACACACACCGGAGTACAAAGGAAATGAATCACACTAAACTCTATACCTATCCGAGTATTTTCCCCAAAACCCAGCTCTACGATACAGTTACGTAATACAGACGCTTCTTTATTAATGATTATAAATCAGGATCCAGCAGCGGGCCCTGTGACTTCCGTCATTCTGAAGCAAAGCGCCAGCAAACACACGCAGATTTTCACGATCTCTGCACCGACTCGTGTGTGGGGTGAAATTTGCTGTGACTTCCGTGGGCTGCCCCCCGCCCCCACCCTGCGGGGGCTGGCGACCCACGGAAAGATGCTGATTTCGGGCAGAAGTGAGGGGCGGTGAGGGTGCGATGCTCTTCCTGTCCCGGTTCCCTGCACCCCCACCCCGAATCCTGTTCATGGACCCCTGTGCTCAAGATGCCTTTTTTATCCCCTCCCCACCTCCTGCCTTCTCGGCAGCCCCAGAAAGGAGTACACGCCCCAGCTTGGACGGTAAGGGGGACACAGGCACCTTGCTGCCCTCGGGGGATGAGTGGGAGGGGTGCAGCTCTGAGGGTCTCATGCCGGGGCGAGAAGGAAGCCCCCTCCCTTTTATTCCTAGAGGGGGCATCACTGGGAAAATGCCCTGTGGCTCCTCCTCCTCGATCCGGCCTGGGGGGCACCACATGCACCCAGCAGCGCCCCAACAGTGGCTCTCGGGAGTCCTGTAGCTCTGATTCCCCCCACCCTGCCGTCCGCACTGGCAAAGAGGGACACACTTACCTTCCGGCTCCTCCACGCTGCTGGCGGCCGTGGTCGGTGGTGCCACAGGGATCTCTGTGAGGTTCGGGGTGGGAGGAAGAGACAATGAGGGAAGGAGACGTTATTTTTGACCTTAGAAGAGGATGAGCAGGACACAGACTCCTCCCCGGGCCCTCCTCCCTTCCCCACTCCTCAGCTCCAGAGGGGGAGGGTAGGGGAGGTGGAGGAAGCCGGCAGGGGGGCCCGGAACATGGCTTTGCCTCTCCTCTGAGTACTGTACCTCCAAGTGGCAAGGACAGGAGTGGGGAGCAGGCGGGGCGGCCCCACAGCGTGGAGGGCTGACCTCCCACACGACATGGCTGTTTCTTTCTGACTTCCCCGGTGGGCAGGGAGGCCTTCCATGGCAGGGGTGGCATGCGAGAGGCCTGGGAGGCACCTCACGCGTGCAGAGGGGTCTGCACCCCTGGCCCAGGTTCCCACAGGCTCACGCTGTTCTCAGTGGCCCGAAGACTAAGGACAACCCGAGGGCCTGCGAGAAGCATGTGCTTTACTGGGGTCATTCCCTTTCCACCTAGAAAGCCAATTCTTTCCTACCAGCCCCTGACTCCGCCCCATGCTCAGGAAAGGTGAAGAGGTCCTGCCAGTCTCTGGAAAAGTCCCCAAGGGGAAGGACTTGCCTCCTCCGGGGCCAGACCACAAGAACAGGGGGGTGCCAGGGGTCTCCATGAATTCCCCAGACTCTGGCCACCAGCTGACTGTCTGGGAAAGACCTCCCTCAACCTCCAGACAGATCAGCCAGGTCCTGAGGCTTGGTGGGTGGAGACAACTGCTGGCTGGGACCTGGGGGGCATGCCTGAGACCCAGCCCTCCATTCGGGGGCGCCACTCCTGCCCGTCTCCCAGAGCTGTGACCCGACAGGCAGGAGCCCCGCCCCCCCCCTCCTGTTCCCTGGTAACACAGCGTGAGCGCCCGTAGCTGGAGCTCCCAGAAACCCCAGGGCGGACAGCCAGATCTACACCTGGCCTCTGCCAGAGCAGGTCACAGACTGAGAAATCCGGCTTCCCCAGGTCTCTGTCCCCGACTGTGGGCCACCGGCTCCACGTCAAAGTCCTCTTCCTACCCCCCGGAGGCTCTGAAGTGGAGGTACCAGCCACTTCTGAGCTCCGTTTGTTTTTCTTATGTTTTCACAACCCCTGGGGGCAGTGCTGGGTTTCCTCCCGGCTTTCTAGAAATGTCCACTTTGCAGCTTTTTGCATAGAGGGAAGAGAAGGGTTTCTGCAGACTGTGAGACTCTGATGCATAGAGGCAGTCGGGAAAACCGTGTCAAGGGGCTTGTGCCGGAGGGATGCGGAGCTCGATTTCCCAAGGGGCTGGGATTTGGGTTATCCGCCGCAACTGGACCCCTGTGACCGCCGTGGGCCAGCAGACTCTCCTAGGAAGAGCCAGCTGGGGAACGTGGCCAGCTCCGTGGGCCACAGGCCTCTGTTGTAGCCACTCAGCTTCGCTAGGGCTCCACGCAGCCACAGACAGCGCGTATGCAGCGGGCATGCCTGCGTCCCCGTGTAAATTTACAGACACGCCACTTCTCATCGCACGCATCCCACATGTCATAAAATATTCGCCTTCTGACTTTGGTTTCGATCGTTAAAGAATTATTAAAAGAAAACACTGAGCCCCACGAAAACAGGTGGTGGGTCAAATCCTTGGGCTGGCCAACCCCTGTTCTAGAGATGACAACCTCAACCCTCGGGTCTGCCTACTTTGCTGGGATCTGCTCCCTTTTCTGCTCGCCTTCTGGGTTAGGTCAGCCTTGCACAAGGAATGAGGAAGACCAAGGCCAGGGGCCGGCTCCCAGCCAGGCTTGCCTTCCAACCGAGACTAAGTGTCCGCTCATAACACCTGGGAGAGTCCTACCGGTTATAAAACATGAAGTCTGTTCCGAGCCAGGGCCCCTGAGTGGTCCTTGCCATCTTGCCCATCCTCTGCTCTCATTCCAGCAACTAGGGGGCTAGCAGCTGGTCCAAGGGGCCCCCAGGACTATAAGGGGAGTCACCGTCCGTCATAAGGGCCGTGGGGGCCCAGGCATGGGAGCCTGTAGCATCAGCCCCTTCTGCTCCCAATCTGCCAGGGCCTGGGGATCCTGGAATTCCTGCCACAGCCGCCATGGCGAGCCCTGGCTCAAGGCCACCCCAGGTCCAGGGCTTGCTTCCCCCTGGAAGCGGGCGATTCAGTCTTTATCAGGACGGAGAAGAGCAGGCCGCCTCGCTGAGCTCCCAGCTTGGGGAGTCTCACACGGGGTCCCCCGTGGAAAAGCCTTCAAGCAGCTGCATATCAGCAGGGTTCAGGGAAGGCGATCTACCCCCCGCCCCCCGCCCGCCGGCCCACAAACCCGGAGCCCAGCCAGAGCCTGGAGCCCGGAGGAGGAGGGGGCACGTACTTATGCAGGGGGCGATGGGAGAGCGGCTCTGCTGGTAGCCCTTGGCACAGCGGTTGCATGTGATGCCGGTCACGCCGTCCTTGCAGGGACACTGGCCCGTCGTCTGATTGCAGGTCTTGCCAGCCGCGCCCACGGGGTGGCAATCGCAGGCTGTGGAGGACACACGACAGGAAGGTCAGAGGGCGGTGGGGGGTGGCCGCCCCCCACCCCGCGGCACTGCATGGACCCCCACACTGGGAAGGCAGGCCCGGTCAAGCGCGCACGTGCGCACACACACACACACACATTCCAGAACATACTCAGATCTCCGGCCACCTGCTCCCCTGGAAATGGGGAACAGAAGTCAAAATGGACCGTCGTGAAAGGCTGCATTGGCAGGTGGGAAATGGAGCAGGGGAGCCCCTCCAAAGCCCCGAGGGGAAGAGAGGAAAGCAGACACTGAAGGATGTTTCCAGGAAGGCACAGCCCACAGGCTCATCACCAGCAGAAGAGTCTGAATCCCTACAGGGTAAGTCTGCGTCTCCTCACTCCTCTGCACCCAGGCCTCCTTCCCAGGCTCCCAGGTGTGAACCGCATACAGATTGGGGGTGTGCCAGGCCCGAGGGGGTGGGCAGGGAGGTGGGACTCTCCAGGCTACCGCACCTGCTCTGATCTGCAGCCAGGAGGCCCGAGGTGCCAGCCACAAACCCCAGGACCAGGCCACGGCCACCACCCAGTTCAAGACCCCGATTAGATGTGCAGAGTGGCCAGGGGAAGGGCCCTCCCGGGACTTCACAGAAAGGGGGCGGCCGCGCTGGGAGGTGGAGGTCAGGGGCTGCTCATCACAGCGCGGGCCCTATACCCCTTGTCCTGCTCTGGAACAGGCTGGAAGGCTGGGGTGAGCCCCTTCTAGGAGGAGGAAGAGAGAGTGTCTGCACAAGCACGCAGCAAGAAGGCCGCGCCCCTGCCCCAGGAAGCCGGAACTGTGAGAAGTAAAATGCTCGTTGTTGAAACCACTCCATCTGTGGGGTTTTGTTTCAGGAGCCCAAGCAACCAAGGCGCCCACCAAGCCCGGGCAGCTCGGGCAAGAGGAGCTGTGCCCACACGGACAGGGCGACCGCGTTCCCGGCCCACTCCCACTTCCCGGAATCCAGGCGTGCGCTCAGGGGGCGGGGGGCGAGGCAGACATGCAGCCTCTCCCTCTGCTGCCCACCCCCTTTCCCAGGGAAGCCTGGGTGTGGGGTGCGGAGACGGGAGGGTGTTGGGGGAGAGTCGTCTGCAGGAAGCTGCTAAGTGTTTCTGCTCCGAATGGGGCAAAACCCTCCAACACAAGAAGTGCGAGCACAGCGTCCAGCCAGCACTGCTTGGTGAGCGCAAGACTGCTGGTGAGAACTTGCCTCCCTCTGCCCCCGAAGCCAGCCCGGGGTTCCCAAGTGGCCGAAGAGGAGAAGTCGGAAGCGGGAGGCAGAAAGGAGAGGAACGTGAGGTTTTGTCAAACTTGAGTCTGGACGGAGACTGAGGATGCTGCTGGGAGGAGGGCATGTCCGGAGAAGCCCTCTGACCTTCCCCTGTGCCCGGAAACCCCGCTCCTGCAGTGGGAAGGGGGATTGGGCCCGGGGCAGCGTCTCTAAGGCGGCCACGTGAAAGCAAAGGGCCACAGCATGGGACCCCGCTGTCCCAAGCCCAGTGGGGGCCACGGGGCGCCGGGCGGATGTGCACTCCCGAGGCCCATGCCAGATGACCTCCCGTGGCCTGCTTTGCAAGCCTGCTGGTAACGCTCTGACTGGTGCCAAGACCTCCTCCCCTCCGCGCTGACGGAATACAGCTGTGTGCCAGTAACTTCTGGGTCCTTGCACTTGGCTGCGAGCGAGGACATCACCGAAGGATGCTCGGGCTCCGAGGGGTGAGAGCCAAGTCTCCCAGTGGCACAGGTCACCTTTCCCGAAGCAAGAGCCATGCAGAGCAGAATCTCAGGGGGCTGCTGAGGGTGGCATCGTCCTAGCCTGTGGCCCCTCGTAGCTGGTGACCTGTGAGTTGCCAGGGCTGGCGAGACGCGGGGCGGGGTTGGTGGGGGGTGGGGGGACGGGCGCCAGCTGACATCGGCTGCGGACGAGGGCCATCCTCAGCAATGGCGGGAAGCTGACACATCCTCTGGGCCCATCCTTTGATTAAAGAAGGGGGTGCTTTGCTGCTGGGTTTCCCATCTTTCTCCCCAGATTTCGCAGAGACTGTGAGCTCCTGTCCCCTTCGGCTGGTCTGACGGAGGCGGCAAGCCAGGCTGGTTGGGCTTCCATGAAAACTCACCGTTCCGGGAAGAGAAGCTATCGGGGTGCTAAAGGGGGGACGGGGGGCCTCAGAAGGTTACTCAGGTCACCTCCGGGCACAACGCCATCGCCCGGATACCTGGGAACATGTGAGGGCATCCACATGCTCTCACACATCGTCGCCTCGGGTCCCCGCCCTCCTATGGGGTCTGCCCGACCACGGAGGACGAGACCGCGGGCTGCCCCGGAGAGCCCCAGCGGAGGGGAGGCGGTAAGGACCTGCTCTCTCAGGGCATCACGGAGACCCTCACCCTCTCCAGACAGCCCCCTCTGCACTTCTTGGTCCAGAAGGAGACATCCCCACTTGCCGGGCTTGCCGGGCTTTCTGTTTCCCCGGCACCAAATGTAATCCCAGCAGACTCGCGATGCGCTCATTCTCCATTCCAAGCAACAGAGCCACAAAAGCAAGGACCTTCCTCCCAAAGCCCACACACAGGGAAAGCCCAAGTGATGTCCTCTGTGTGAAGAAGGGTGAGCTTCAAGGTCTGGGGACAAGAGGCAGGTGACCATGCCCCACCGTGGGTTCCTCTGCAGCCTGGGGTGAGAAGAGCAGCTGGCCAAGGGAGTCTGAGCCCACCAGTTACAAAGGAGGCCCCAGGCCCCTGCTCTTAGGGAGAGAAAGCCAAAGGGATTCCGCTGTATTTGCTCAGCCTGGAAATACACCCAGACACACACAGATTCTTCCCAACTTACGTTCACATGGACATGCCTAGACCCACACAGATACAAACACAGACTCCTATTCCCTTTCTGCACAGGCTCACCTGGGACCCCAGTGGGCAGGGCAGTGGAGGGGCGGGGCCCAGCAGGGGGGTGGGGGGATGTGGATGAGGAGGGAGTGCAGGTCTTCCCCACCCCCCATCCCCCCATCCCCCCCAGGGCAAGGGGTCTGGTGAGAGGCCAAGGAGAGAGCCTCCCTAATCCTTCTGAGAACGGGGTCTGGGGCAGAGCGCCTCCCGCCATGGGAAGGCCAGCTGGTGACTCCTATTTCCCTGGAAGCGAGCCACTCTTCTGGAGGAGGTCAATCCCTTCTGCGGCAGGTCACCCCGTGTGCATAGGGCAGGCAGCACCTGGTCATGGGAACCGATCTACCCGAGGGTTTTTCCATAAAGAGGAAGGTGAGAGCGGACGGAAGCCCAGGGCCCTGAGAAGACGGCCGGGTTAGGTTTCTCACGCATGTAAGGGGCTGGAGTGCCTCCCAGTGTGGAGGGAAGCCCGGGCCATCTCTGCTCTAGGCCATCAGTCAGGGACAGCCAGCTCAGGGCACACAGACGGTTTCTGGGAGAGGCGTCAGCACACCCGGGTCCGGGCCCGTCCTGCCAGGACCGCTGTGTGACTCTGGGTTAGTGCCTCGTTCTCTCTGGACCACAGATGGCTCTGCCACCTTAACAGTCCAATGCTTGGTGTCTATGGTTTCAAGGCCTCTGAGAGCACCCCCATCCCCTCCTCGCCCCACACTGCTGGAGGTAACTGCAGTCCTGGCTTAAGGGACACGCTGCCTGGTGCACCAGGCCTTCTGTCCACACCCAGAGCCCTGGCAAAGCTGACTGCAAAGGCAGACAGTCCTGATCCCAGGTTGCTTGTCCCTGAGCACTGCCTCTCCCAGCTTCTCCCGATGCCCCCTGTCCTGGGTCCCGAAAGGCTCACGGCCTCCATCAGGAGAGGATGCATGTCTGAGGCGGGCCTTATCCACTGCAGCCCACACAGATTTCCTGTACCCTATCAGGAGATCTGGCTGCTTTTCCTGCACACCTGGCTCCAGGGCGCCCCACCCCAGAGGTCAGGCAGGACCCTCCAGGGGACATCCCTGCAGAGGAGACGGGAGCTGGCTTGGCACCCAGACCCCCTGGGAGCTCCACCAGGATGGAGGGGGGTACTTAGAACAATCACAACACTGACTCCGACTTCAGAGGTCATCACAGCTCACACATGTACACATCTTGTGCTAAGCCTGGACCCAGCATCTTCTTCCCTAGGCCGACCGCTGGCGTTGTGAAAAGGAAGACGATCAGCCTGGGGGTCCTGATCACGCTGTTAGTGAACGTGGCTGCTCCCCAGAGCTGACCAGGCCGCCTGAGGGGTGTTGGGTGAGGGGGGAACGTTCTTCTCTGCTCTGGTAAGACTGGTCTGTGTGCCTGGCTGCCATCCACAATGAAGGTAAAGGTAGTCAGGACCCTTGGTGTGGGCCAGGCTGAGCTCCAGCTGCTGTGGGAGGTCAGGTAGGGAGGAGGGAAGAGGGGAGGAGGAAGGAGGAGGGAAGAGGGGAGGGTAGGATAAAGGAAGGAGGAGGAGGAGGAGGAGGAGGAGGAAAGAGGAGGAAGGGGAAGAAGGGGAGGAGGGATGAAGAGTGAGAAGAGAGCAGGATGAGGGGGAGAGGTGAGGAGGGGGGAGGAGGAGGAGGGAGATAGAGGGAGGAAGGGAGGACTGTCAGGAGGAGGAGGAGGGCTGGAGCATGCTCAGTGAAGGTGAGGGTAATGCACAGAGACAGAAGGGTCAGTGTCCTCAAAGAAAACCAGGCTCAGATCCGAAGGGTTCCCATGTCTTTCGTATGTGTGTTGGGCCTCTTAGGGGAAGCCCCGGGAGACCCCCTCACCTAGAGGTGGTGTTGGGGGAGGACGAAGAGGACATATGTTGGGCACTAAGCGGTGTCCAAGAACATGCTTTTTCTCCAATTCCCCAAATGGGGTGAGGAGGACTGGCCACCAAGAAAAGAAACATGGAAGCTGACCAAGGCTGCTGGGGTGCTCCAGAATGGAGAGGACCTGAGGCAAGGTGGCAGACCAGTGGGGTTGGGCTCGGGGACCCAGGCAGGAGGAGGAGCGAAGGGGGATTGATCTGAGTGGGACT